CGCGCTCCCCGGTCTGTAGCGACGCAGACCGTCGTCCCCTGCCCGAGGCGCGTGACTGTGGACAACAGCAGTCGCAGTATTAATGGTCAGGCTTCTACGACAGGCTCGACATAGAAGGTAGCCTGCAATCCCAGCTCTCACTGCAGAGTTGGGTCCCCTTTCGCCGTCGCCAGCCTGACGACTTCCTGGCGCAAAGCCCGCCCACTGCACGCTGAGCCGCCCACTTCCTCTCTCCCCTCCCCCGAACGAGATGGCTGAGGAGCCGGAGGCCGTGCTCCCTCTCCCTCCTTCGGGTGCGGCGGACGGCGAAGGGCCTACGGACGTCTCTCCAGGAACAGCCACGCCGGAGCCCCCTTCTTCTGCCGCAGTCTCCCCGGGAACGGAGGAACCTGCCGGCGACACCAAGAAAAAAAGTAATTTTGAGAGTGGTTTCTGGGCAGAGGCGGGAGGTTTAGATCGCTTCCCACTGGGGATGGCGGCCAATGAAGAAGCAACATTGAGAGGAAGGCCCGTGCCCGGCGTGGTTTTTGACGGTTAGGAAGGGACCTGTGCGTCTCGGCTTTGAAGACCTTCCTGTGGAGGGCCTTGCCGGAGGCCGTGGCTGGACGCTTGGCCATGTGGTGCGGCCCTGGCCTGACCTCAAACTTTCTCAAGGTGGGAGCGGAGGGGGATCTCGGGAGCTCCAGGTCCTTAGCCGGGTAGCTAATTAGAATAATGATTGAAGATGATAGGGCTAGTTCACGCCTTCCAGCCAGTTAGTTCTCAGGGGTTTGTTTTGTTTAAAATACTAATTGCGTGTGAATTCACTTCTTGAACCAGAAAACTGAAATTTTACCCAAAATGAAGAATGTTAAAGGAAAACTAAAGGCATAGGCATCGCCTTTCCAAAACAAAAAACAAAAACACACAAACCATTTTGGAACCTTTGTGAATCAAGTCATTGTGTGACCTAGCTGTCATCTACCCTGTCATCGCTTGAGAATTCGTTTGCCATGGTAAAATCCAGACATTCCCAAGTTGACTTGCCCTGGAGCAGCGCTGTGTGTAGAGTTGCTTATGAGAAAAGCAGCAAGTCGGCACCTATAATTCAGAAAGGTCGGCCCCGGGCCTCAGACACGTTTTGCCAGTTCAGAGGCTTAGCCCAGGTATTGGCAGGGTTTCTGCCCAGTGACCTCACAGCCCGGCGTCGAACGTCATTTTCTTTGCCGCCGGAGGTAGCTGTTTCCTCCAGCGCTGCTCCCCGCCCAAGTTAGACAGCTTCTCCATTTGGGGGGAATCTCTTGTTGTCCCCACATGATGCACTACTGGAGAAACAAACCTTCGATTATTTTTATAGGTAACCACTAGAATCTTTCTTGAGAAGAATTCCATGAGTTTTACCGAGTTTTGTTCCTTTTTTTCTTCCATTTTTATTGTAAGCAGGAACAGACTTTCAAAGGGCTTGTTTTAAGCTCTAACAGTCTTAGCCAAAAGTGTACTACTACTCCCCGAAGATAGCTTTGCAAAAACCAGTGGCTAAAGATGAATGACCTGCAACAGGGATACAGTCTGTGGTTATATGGCATGGTCTCTTGGTTCCAAAATAAGACTCCCATGAGCATTTGAGTTTGCCTCTCTGATGGCATAAAACTTAGTTTCTAGCTATTGGATTTCTACCCTGACATTGTCATCCTTTTTTGAGGACCTCTTCTGATGAAAGAAGCTTAGCTTCACATATGCTTCACTTCTGGTTTAATCTACAGAAGAACAAAGATTGTTAAAGCAAACCGAGGTTGTTGGTCCTGGCCTCACATTAGGACCACCTCAGGGAGCTGTAGAACATACCTGTGCCAAGACCCTACTTCCAAACATTCTGTATTCTTGTAAATTAAATTTGTTCCCCCAGTTGCTCCTAATGCATAGCTAGGATTGAGAACTGTAAAGCAAATCACCTTTAGAAATTAAAAGAAAAAGTAGTTACAATTTAAATAAATGTGTCCTCTAGCTCTTATCCCTTCCAGTTTTTTTCCTGCAGTAGTACAGCTCATAATATTTTCTCCCTCACTTTCTTGAAATGCTCAGTTGCAACTGAGTTATTGATAGCCTCAGGAGATTGAAGGAGGCATAGAAGATGAGTTACTCAAAATCCCTTCATTTATCTTTCATTTCATCTCTGTTTCCTGGATAACTGAAGCTAGAGTTTAAGTGGAGGAAGGAAGGTAAACTTTTTCAAGAAGAATACAGTGTGCATTATGTGTTCCAGGTGCCTTCATTCCCAGGGTAAACTTGAATAAATTAACCTCTGACTCCATTGGATCCCAATTTTTAACACCAAAGACTGGGACAAGAGAGATGTAATATACTAGAATTAACTGTAGGGGGCAGCAGTACACTATTTTGTTTTCAGTGTTGCTTTTGATTGAGAGACTTCTTTTTTTCCCCTTTTTATTGAGTGTATTGGGGTGACATTGATTAATAAAATAATACAGGTTTCATGTGTACAGTTCTATACTACATCTGTATATTGTATTGTGTGTTCACACACATCCTTTTAAGTATAGTAACTTCAGGAGGCAGATTCATAGGTTGTGTTTGTATTTTGGATTATTGAAACCTTTAATTTCTCTAATTGAAACTTTTTGGCCCCTAGTTGTTTTTTCTCCAATAATTATTATGTTTCTTTATTAGAAATGTTATTATAGAAAACTTGGCAGTTACAAAAAGTACCAGTAAAACCAAATATTAATCACCTATAATGTCACTACTGAGAAATAGCATTTTGGTGCACATTCCACATTTACATGAATATGTGTTTGTGATGATTTTAATGAAATTGAGGTCTTATTATACATGCTGTTTTATATTAGTACATTTTGATAACTTTTTCATGCTGTTAAATATGCTTTTATAGCATGTTTTCTGTAATGGCAACTTATAATCTTAAGGTTCAAAAAGTATGAGTTATGAACTGATACTGTTCTAAACACTTTACATGTATTAACTTATTTAATCCTCAAAACAACCTTATGAGGTAGATGCTATTGTCTTCATTTTATAAAAGGAAAAACTGTAGCACAGAAACATTAAAGAGTTTATCCAGGAATATATACATAGCAAGTAGCAGAGCCAGGATTTGGAACCCAGGGACTTCAGAGTGTGTACTCTTTATGGAATTATATAAATTCTATTATAGACTATAATATCATTTTTCAACCAATCCCCTCTAAATACCATTGTTGAATATTTAGATTTTCCAGGTGTTTTGTTTTTTTTTTTTCTATAAAAATAAATGTTTCAACAAAGGTGAAATCCTTCTAAATGAATCTTTTTACATCTCATATTTTATGAGACTAGATTCCTAGTACTATTATTAGAACTAGAGACGCAGCGTGCACGAATCATGCGCGGTTAGGGTCCCTAGGCCTAGGCCTAGCCTGGCCTCAGTCGCATGGCCTCTGCTGCCCTGCAATGCTACGTGAAGCTCTCTACCCTGGTGAAGCTCTCTGCCCCAGGGCACTCCGCGATGCTCGCAGCCCCTCGACTGCTCTGCGAGGCTCCCCCCCACCCCTTGACTGCTCCGTGAAGCTTGCTGCCGCCCTGCGAAGCTCACTGCTGGATGCTCCGCAAAACTTGCTGCCACCCAGGTGACTGCTCCTCTAAGCTCACAGCCACCCCGTGAAGCAGCCTGCCACCGCAGCTCAACAGTCCCCAGTCCTGGCCCTGCAGCCAGCCCCCTCCTCATGGTGAGGGGCTCAGTGTTGGGGGGAGGACCAAGAGTCACTTCATGGTGACTGGTTGCCCGTTCGGGCGTGATGGCACCTAGCTCTTTATATACATTAGGATTATTGATCAAAGCATATCTTAAGTATTTGGTAATGTATTACCATATTGTTCTCCAGAAAGGGTGTGCCATTTTTTTATTCCCAACAGTAGTGTCATCTACAGTATTATTCTAATTTTTGCTAATTTGGTTGGTTGTAAAAAGCCATGACATTATGTGTGTGTGTGTGTGTGTGTGTGTGTGTATACATAAATATATATAAAAAATACATTTTTATTGGTTTTAGAGAGAGAAGAAGGGAGAGAGAAACATCAATGAAAGAGAAATGTCAATATCCATTGACTGTTTCCTGCACACCCCCCCACTGGGGATCGAGCCCGCTTGTTTCCTGCACACCCCCCCATTGGGGATCGAGCCCGCAATCCGGGCATGTGCCCTGACCAGGAATTGAACCAGTGATCTCTTGGTGCATGGGTTGACGCTCAATCACTGAGCTACACCAGCCTGGCGACATTTTATATATTTTTACGTATTTATTGACCATTTCTATTTTATTATTATTAAAATGAAATTTAAAATTACATTTCATGGAGAGTCCTTTCTGAGACTGTAGAATCAAGGGGTGGGGAGAAAAATGACGAAAAAGAATCTTACAACCTAACGTTTGTGTATCTTAGACATACCTCCAGTATCTTCAATATATGTACTATGTGTAGATTAAAGGTTTAACTTTTCTAAAGTCATTATATGTTGTAGTGTAATTGTTAATTTTTTTTCCCTTTTACAGTTGATATCCTGCTAAAAGCTGTGGGAGACACCCCTATAATGAAAACAAAGAAGTGGGCTGTAGAGCGAACCCGAACCATCCAAGGACTCATTGACTTCATCAAAAAGTTCCTTAAACTTGTGGCTTCAGAACAGTTGGTATGAAACCAGTGCTGACTATTTCCCTCAATTACCTATAATGGTTACTAGGCAATAATGAATAACTGTTGTGTATAGAAATACATATGGAGCCATATATTTTTACTTCAGTAATGTTCTTTTATTTCTTTTGTTGGTGGGATTTCTGTATTTTATTGAAGGATTCTCTGGGGAACTCTGAAGTGAAATGAATTTTAGACTCACATTTACAATGTGAACTGATTTTTTTTTTTTACCACTGAGGTGGTTTTTCTCAAAAAAGTCACTGAATGCCCACGCAGAAAGATCTATCAGGGAACATACGGAAATATTTAGGTTTTATAATTTGTTTTGATATTAATGTTGTTTCCTTTGTGTTCCTATTAAGGTAAACAATATGTCCTTGCCATATGTTATGGAAGAACTAAGAGATATTCTTATTTCATATTAGTACATGTTAAACACTTCATGGTAGCAGTTGGAAAGATTAATATTTTAAATGCCACTGGTTTTTACCTTGGCATTCAGCTACAGAAATTTAAATGTCTACTTGTATTTGGAATATTGTTGCATTTTAATTAATATAGCAGACACCTTTATTGGCAGATCACATCTTGGCCAATATTAATACTGATCTAGTAGTTTGGCATTAAGTACCTCTCGCAAAATGAACATAGTTGCAAGAGTAAGTATAAGATAGATCAATCACTAGAAGTAATTTGAGGAAGAATAGCATAGAGCCTGGGATTCCTCCAAAGGAAGATGTTTAGAAAAAATGTGGAAATATCTGAGTTTTGCAGCTGAACATCTCCCTCTGTAATCAGAGTGAGAAAAGCATCTGTGTTATTACAGTGCCATATAGAATTTAATTGTCAGAGATGGGCAAGAAGATTATAGTATCATTCACATGCATATTGGAGCTAAAACCTCAGGAGCAGAAGACCTTGCCTAGATAGAGTTTGCTCAATGGTTAGAGCTTCAGCGCATGGACCAAAGGATGTTAGGTTTGATTTACAGTCAAGGGCATATACCAAGGTTGCAGGTTTCGATCCCTGGGACAGTGCAGGAGACAACCAATCAATGTGTCTCTCTCACATCGATGTTTCTCCCCCACCCTTTTCCACTCTCTAAAAACCAATAGTAAAAGTATCCTTGGTGAGGATTAAAAACAAAATCATTATTCTTTAAAATTAAAATAACTTTATCTTCCCAAGTTCTAGCATTTATTAGCAAGATTACATTTTGAAATTGTTATTTCCATGGAATTTTAAACTACCTTAATTGCTTTTTTTTAAATTATAGTCACTTTCAGTTCCTGACTCCTATTATAAATTGTAATGAGTTCTTATAGTTCTGCTACATTTACTCTACTGTCCCCTTAACACTAAAACCATCTTACTTTTGCCTACAAAGTCCTAATTATTCTTCCACCTAGTTAAATCCTATTTATTATCTCTTAGAAAAGGCTTTCCCTGATGTTTTTGCTAGGTTAAATTAATGCCACATCTGTTGTGTACTACACACCTTGTCAGATGCACTTTTTTCATCTATAGTCTTATCTGCATATGTCTGTCTCTCCAGTAGATTGAAAACTCATTAATGGGAGTCATATTAATCTTCACAGTTCCACACCTTGGGAAATTCCTACCACATAATAGATAGTGAATGTTTGCTGAACTAAGAACTGTCATCAAGAGCCCTTCTCATTTAAAATGTACCAGAAGAATAAAATATCTATGTTCATTCACAGTTAAACTGCTACGACCTAAAGACAGATTCTTATATCTGTACTAGAGGCCCAGTGCACGAATTCATGCACAGGTGGGGTCCCTCGGTCTGGCCTGCAATCGGGGCCAGAAGGTTGGCCGGGGAAAGAGGGCCTTATGAGGTTGGCTGGCCAGGGAGGAGGGGCCGCAGGAGGTTGGCTGGCCGGCAGGGGGGAGAGGGGGCACGGGAGGTTGACTGGGAGCACACTGACCATCAGGGGGCAGCTCCTACATTGAGTGTCTGCTCCCTGGTGGTCAGTGCATGTCATAGCGACCAGTTGTTTGGTTGTTCGGTTACTTAGGCTTTTATATACCAGTATATAGATTATAGAAATTCACATTTAAATGCACACTGATTTCTAACTTTATGAAGTTTTTGTTAAGAGTATTACTCAGCCTTAACCATTAATTGATACTCATACATGAACTTTTTTTAATTAGATCTTTATTGTTCAGATTACTACATTTGTCCCTCTTTTTTCCCCCCATAACTCCCCTCCTCCCAGTTCCCACCCCACCCTCCGCCCTCACTCCCCACCCACTGTCCTCATCCATAGGTGCACGATTTTTGTCCAGTCTCTTCCCACATCTCCCACACCTCTTT